CGAGTGTCTTTTAGACCTAGAGATAAATTATCTTTTAAATTAGAGCTACCCATATATTGTAACGCTCCTATGCAAGCTCGAACATCACAACCGGATCTTTCCGCTATTTTTACAAGATCATTAAAGTCTACATTTAATTTTTCCTTTCTCGCTAAATCCATTAGACGTTCTGCTAATCTTAAAGGACTTACTTCCTGTATCGGAATTATTACAGCGACAGCTCTTAATGCTCTATAAATATAAAAATTAGATTATTTTTTAACTCAGGTATTATATGTTAATATTTTTATTATATTATTTGATGCTTTTAATTAAAATTACCTTAACGATGGAGCATATGGTTCATTACAAATACATATTATAGGACGTGTACAGCCATCAGATATATTTTCTGATTGTTCTTTTTTCTTTTTCTTTTTCGCTATTAATTTGCCTTGAGTAAATTTTAATAAAAGTTCAATAGATGCAGCCGGTGCACCATCAATTTCATCAAAAATTAAACAATTCGGTCGGGGATCAGCCCCCATCACAGCTTTCATTTCTGTTGATGCGAGGAGAATCTGTCTAAATAAAAATATATAATATAATTTTCGTATTACTAATTTTGTATTACTAATGTCATACGAGTGTATATTACCTAAATTTATCAGGAGTTCTTTCATCACTTGCATTGATTTCTACAACATTATAACCAGCATGTTTGGCTGCTATATGTGCTAAAGTCGTTTTTCCCAATCCAGGTGGACCACTGAGTAAGGCTATCCTCTTTATTGGATATCCTTTACTATCCACTTCCTCAATGTCGTTTCTGTCATCAACATTATCCTTTTTTCCAAAAGTAGGTAATTGTTTTTTTAGCTTTATAACATTTCGTTTAAATACTACTTTATCCCAAAGTTTCAACCAATGTAATAATTGTCTATTAACGGTTTCATCTGATAATAATTCTATGTATGATCGAGGTCGATATTTATCGACCCACAATTCATCGTTAATCATGTTTGTTGTATCATATAGAGATGATGGTTGCCTAGATAACTCCTGTTTTCTTGCCATCTATAATATGACACCACATTAGTATTGCAACAAAAATGTAATATAAAGAAAATTGAGAAATAGACATACGATTTCTTTAGCCTGGATTTTCAATTGCTTATAGGGCACTGAAGACAAATTAGCAATTGGACTTGTGAACTGTTTGATATCATTCTGTTGGTTTCTGATTCTAATATATAAACGCTGATAATCATACGATCTTGTGACAGCCACAAAATTCCATGATGGAACTCGTAAAGAAATAGAATTGTTCTTGCTGTATTAAACACAGAAACAATATGGATGCGATATATTATAAATATTATAATTTCTATTATGCAAATCATTTCAAATTACTAATTACTCACTTATTGAAATTTGTCTTCATTGATGTATTTTCATTTTCATGCAGCAATTGTCTAACATCTAAGATTTTCTTAATAACTTCTTTAGGTTGATTCCATCGAAGCTTCTTTTCTTTTGGCTCTTCTGTAATATCATCATAGGTGTCAACTAGAAACAAAGATTGTATGACAATTAACTCAAAAATAAAATTATTTCTGTTACTGATTAGTTATCAATTAATTACCTGAGATATCCATGTCTAACAAATTAGAGATGTCACTAAGCAATTCATCGCAGCTACGTTTTTTACTACTACTAGGTATACTATCACAATATTTTTCATAATCATGTTTTTTATTATTGCTAGTTATGTTGTTGACTTTATCAGCATTAACAGATAGAGGAATTTCAACACTTGATTGATGTTTATTATCATTAGTTCTCCAAGATATTCCACTAGTACTAGGACCAGGATCAAATTGCGACAATAAATGGTTTTTATTATTGTTAGTTATGTTATTGACTTTATCAACATTATCAGGTACAGAAATTTTAACACTTGCTTGATGTTTATTATTGGCTGTCCAAGATATTTCACTATTACTAGGACCGGGATCAGATTGCGGCAACTGTCTTTTCTCAAATAGTCCACCTTTAAGTAAATTAGCTAATTATTATTTGTTTGACAAGATGCAATAAATAGTAAAATATAAGGAAAATATTTAAATGAGATTTCAAATATCAATTTATTTCTCAACTTGTTTCTTTTCGTTTTAATTCTAGTTCAAAAATTTCTAGTTCGAGTCATATTATATTTACCTTCTAGTTCCCTCAATGCTTCATAGTCTGCTTTATGAATAAGGTCGAACTCTTCGTCCATATCTAAATCTGGGTATTCGTCAGCCATCCTGTTACTCAATGTGAATTAATTTTGCGATGTATAAATTCCAAATATTCCAATTCCAAGGCCTCTTTCACCAACTTCTGGGGTTAAGTTAAGTAATGATCACAAGTACATAATATGTATACATTTTCACGAGATGCTCAAACCGATCGTTTTCAGCAGAAGAAAATCACGTGATCAAAATTGACGAATATCAAGCGTTAATTTTGATCACGTGATCCTCTTTGTTCCTGGCCGGTTTGAGCGGCTCATGAAAATGTATCTTGCATTTTTAAAGTAAATAAGCATTTATTATTTCTTTTCTTTTAAACTTAATATACATTTTTTTTGTACTAATATATACAAATTATTAATATATACAAGGGACATTTTTCCATCTAAACATTTTTTTCGACATTTTTTAATTAGAGATGTTTGTTTATAAACAACTTATTAAGAGAATAAAAAAGTACAATTCAATATAGGGGATAAGTTAATTAGTTAAATATCCTTAATATTTCTTCAGCAGTTATGCAAGATTATATATTTTTATGCTTATTGAGTTGTTGATTTGACTCAATATTACGAATTTTAAGTTAAATTTTAAAAAAGTTAGAAATGACATTCATTATAGCATATATATTTTACACAATCTAAACATAACATAAAAATTAACATTATTCTAATATTACATTAACATTGGTTTAACATACATTTAATGAAATAATCATTAAAAAATTTTTTCACCAATTTATTCACCATATTGAATCTACTATTTTGAATTTATAATGAAATTACACAGCACAATAAATATTTCTTTGTTAATTTTAATTTTCGTTTGGAACAAATATACATATATTTGCACGATTTCGAATGAAGTTATTACAATAGGTTAAAATAAAATGAATATTCTAGAATTCTAGAATAAAATAATTTTATTGCACATTATTAAACAATTTATAATTATACAATATTTTTCTTTTTTCATTTAAATATCGCAAATTACATGCTATATCAAAAATAAAATATATAAAGCGATACATTAAATATGTATGCAAATTAATATTAATTTATTCGCATTTTGAAAAAATCTTACAATTGCGTTATCAAATAGGAATTATCTTGTAACAAGGCCACAGGAAGTTTTATTTAATTTAAAGCACGTGGGTAAATAAGCAATATCTGCCTGTGGATCGGATTCCAATCTTACACGTAATTATTTTATATAACTGCTATTATTTTGGACCTCTTAGTCATCTTTTATAGATATTGTATTTCTCATGTTTATTTCTAATTTATTATTTTCTCAATTATTATAATGTCACCATATTTTTATATGTTGTCATTTTTAAGACTTTTGAATTTATATTTTAATCTGTTTTATGATTTTCCTGTACAATGATTTCTTATAATGAGGAAGACTTAATATAGTCGAGAAATGTACATTTTAATTTATCATTCTTTTTTAAATAATTTTAAAATAAATTTTATCTTTTCAGTCATAACTAGCTCATATTATTGATTATTATTTTTACTTGCGTTTACACGTGTATATCGAATTTGACTAATATTAAATATCGAATTCATTTTATAAAATTTCAAATTCATTATTTGTGCGTAATAAGATATTCGATCAAAGTAATGCTTGTAATTGCTTTAATGTAAAAGCTAGTAACATGTGAAAGTTAAATATTTTATATATGTATAGTATGTGTATGTGTGTGTGTATAATTTTTTTTCTTTTTAAACAAGTATGAAATTTCTGAATTTCCAAATTCGAAACATAACATTTCAGCTGCCATCTATTCTCTATGATATAAAAATATAAGCTACCAACACAAAAAAAATCTTTTAATAATCTGTACTTTCACGATACGAATATACAAGATTTATCAATTAAGATTTTTTAAATCAAGGCCTTAATGTAAAATCGTTTCTCCTCAATGAATTATATAAATTATTGCGAATAATCTTCACTTGACCCAATTCTTTATAAAGAAAATTTCTTAATACGCATGATATCATTAATTATTTTATAGAGTTGGACGCCTCAATGAATAAAGATATGAGCTGCACATATTGCTGCCTATCAATTTCATGGTCAATCTTCATATTATTTTAAACATAAATATAACATTTGCTCCAAAAACTGACATAAATTATGACATTAATAATATAATAAATCTTTAAAAATCAATGCTGTAGAGCACAGTCTATGGTACGTTATGTTAATAATGGAAATAATGGGAAGCATAAATCTTCTGTCTATTGATATGGAAGTACAAGTCTGTCTTACTTCTTTTACACGTTATAAATGTTTTGAAACATGCTTTTTGCTATTAAAAACGTATTTTCATTAGCTTCATGCAAAAACATGACAAATATTTTTAAAAACCATACAAAAAATAACAAATAACATACACATAAATTGTACGCAACAAAATTACATATGTGTATGTATATACAGGGTGTCCTAGTTTAATGGAAATAGCAGTGTATCTGCTAAGTTTGACATCGAGAAAAATTTCTGAACAAAAGTTGTACGGTCTGAAAGATAACAAATAATGGTAAAATCTATTTTCACAAAAATTAATTTTTTACAAATATTTTCAAAAAATATTTCGTAAAAAAATTGTAGATTTTTTAATAACTCTACTTTAATACTTTTATATGTTTTATAGAATAACTAAAAGAATACTATATAAAAAAATCATACAATTCCACTTTTTAAAAATGGCGATGACTTTTAACACAACTTTGAAAAATCCATTTTTTCAAAGATTGATTTTGCCATTATTTATCCCTCTTCTCTTTACACAATTTTTGTCTGAAATATTATTTTCAAAAATGCTTTTCACAAGATAGTACCATATCGAATTAAAATGAAATATTTTACACCCTACATATATATATTAAAAAATTAGAACTATAAAATTACTTGAATAATCAAAAAGATGCATCCTTCATTATAAAGATTTAACTGAATCAATCTAATTGGAGCTACATCTTTCTTTCTCTTTCATATAGAAGTATCCCCTAAAATGTATGAAGTTAAATTCGAGTTTAGTATATAATTGGTGGTATCATAAACATTTAAATATTCAAATGCAATGCGTGGATGCAATCCATTTATCTTCTATGACGACCCAAATAAGCTTTACAGTTTGGACAAGTATGATGAACATCCATACATTCATCTATACAACAGGGAATCAAGCAGCAACCAAACCAACATCTAATATAGAAGAAAATAATAATACATTATATACATTTAGTATAAAAGAAAAATAATTATACATTGTACACATCTATATAAACGTAATGCATAATCTGAATATTATTCATAATTACCCCAACAGTGCTATGATGACACCTGAGATATAAGCGATCATACCAGGTTCAGTTTTTGTTACTGTATCTATCTCAGCATGGCAGTGTGGACAAATTGTATGAGTCGACTGTGGCCCAACTGGAACAATAGTCGTGACTATAGTAGGTCCGTTTGCATCTGTAAAACAAGTGGAAAAATAATTAATAGAAAAGATAATAGAAAAGGTAATTAATACATATTTTTGCTAATTATATTAATATAAATTCAATGTCTTTTTGACTTACAAGTTTGCGCTGGTGTAAATGGACTAGCTGGAGGAACGCCTCCTACATTTTGAGAATAAGCAGGCGGTGCATAAGGCGGTGGTTCGTAAGGCGGTGGGGGTCCATTCTTATGCATGGTTTCCTTCTATCTATCAATATCAGAAATTTGATAATATAATAGTTGTGAAGGAGACAGGCTTAACTACAAAAACCAACAAAATTAAGCTAATCGACATGCTTTGTCATAAAGTAAAAGAATCTGGCAGGAAAAATACAATTATCAAATTTCATAATGTTATGCATAAATGTTCAAAACTTTCTATTAATTTATTCTTCTAATATTCTATTAATTTATTCTTCTAATATTCTATTAATTTAGTAATCAAAATCTCACTAGGTATTAATGTATCAAAACAATATATATAAATCTAAATCAACACATGGACGTTTGCATTTCAATTTATATAATTACTTAAGACACAAAAAAAGTCGTTATCAGATAATGAAGTAATGCAGTAACTAGTTGCCTATTGTTACATCTTAGCATGACGCGAGATGCTAAAAATAGAAATTATCGCGAGGATATCAAAAAATCGAAGGAACGGTAAAGCCTGTTGATAACTGTTTTCGAGTAGACTGTTAGTTTAAAATTATTTCCATCGTGAAATTTCGCTCAAAAGAGAAAAAAAAAAATGAAATGACATGGAATCCAAGCGAAACGGCCTGCCACTCGTCGAAAGTATTCGAAGGCCGTTATCCGAATACGTACGAATGCCGATTGCAATATTTAATGCGCATCCCGAACGATATTTCTGCTTTGTTAATATCTACAATAACGAGTGGCGATAATACATACGCGATGTTGTAATTATTTATTTATTTTACATAAAGTGATAAATCCAACCTTTCGTTCGATTATCGGATTCCTAACGATTCCAATAGAGACTGCTAGAGGCACACGCAGCACACGTTTAAGATGCAGCGCTCACTAGCACTCATAAACGGCACAAACTTCTTTCCTTTTTCTTACCTTATGCCTGTGATGTGGATTTCCTATCAGAGAATTAAAGGCCATCTACATAAGTCGCAGAACGCAGTCCGCAGGCGCATTTGCGACAGCCAATGAAAAGTTGTTATTAGTACCATTAACGCT